CCTATGAAATGGGGCACCAGACTCAGAGTGACCCTCACAATCAGGACCAGCCCAGCCCTGGGGAACTCTGAGTGGTGTTTTTAATTAATACTGTGTCTTTTATTTTATTTTATTTATTTTTTGGCTACGTCGGGTCTTAGTTGTGGCACGTGGTATCTTCACTGAGGCATGCGAGATCTTTAACTGTGGTGCACAGTCTCTTCATTGTGGCGCGCGATCTTCTCTCTAGTTGTGGCGCGCAGGTTTTCTCTTTTCTATTTGTAGCGCACAGGCTCCAGGGTGCGTGGGCTCTGTAGTTGTGGCATGGGGATTCCAGAGCACATGGGCTCTGTAGTTTGTGGCATGCAGGTTCTTTAGTTGGGGTGCGCGAGCTCAGTAGTTGTGGCACGCAGGCTTAGTTGCCCCACGGCATGTGGTATCTTAGTTCCCTGACCAGGGATCGAAACTGTGTCGCCTGCACTGGAAGGTGGATTCTTTACCATTGGACCACCAGGGAAGTCCCAAAACTGAAGTTTGTTTTCGTTTTTTTTTTAATTTATTTTTGCTGTGTTGGGTCTTCGTTTCTGTGCGTGGGCTTTCTCTAGTTGTGGCAAGCGGGGGCCACTCTTCATTGCGGTGCACGGGCCTCTCACTATCGCGGCCTCTCTTGTTGAGGAGCACAGGCTCCAGATGCGCAGGCTCAGTAGTTGTGGCTCACGAGCCTAGTTGCTCCGTGGCATGTGGGATCCTCCCAGACCAGGGCTCGAACCCGTGTCCCCTGCGTTAGCAAGCAGATTCTCAACCACTGCGCCACCAGGGAAGCCCCTAAAACTGAAGTTTTTAATTGGGTGTCTGTATGTGTTCATCTGCATCTACAGTTAGCTGTCAAATTCATTTGTGATCTTTCATCTTTGCCTTGCAGTTCTTTCTGCCTGGAATGACAACCTCTCTTGTTCCCACCTCCTCCCTCGATGATTTCTCTGTCTTTCTTCCATCATAGCATTGATTCTCTCTATGTGTCAGACAGAGTATTTCTCTGATGCTCCCAAACTATGGAAGTAGGGAGAGATTCATGACTGACCGCAGAGAAAAGAATATATGCAGCACCAATTTGAAAGAACTGCGATATTTTTCTTTTTAAAGTCCTTTGTTTACTTATATAATATGATGATCACCTACACACTGAACAACCGTCCCGAGAAATAGAACATCTTCAATAACTATACTTACCTATGTGTTCCTATTTACTCCATACTCTGTCACCAGCCCTTGTTCAGCAACGTCATGAAGTATGTATTTACGATTCCTTTCTGTCATTTGTTGTGTGATCACTTACATATGCATGCCTAAGCCATATTTTTTTGTGTTTTCTTGAAGATTTATTTAAAAGAGTATTCTTTTTTCCTGCTATTTTTTTCTACCATTTCTGCTAAATTCTATTTATTTTAAACTCAGTGTTGTGTTACTAAGATTTATTTACCTATGTATAACAATGGATCAGTGTTGTAGAGCTCAATTTATTTATCCATTCTCTGTCAATGGCTATCCTCTCCTTTCTCACAATAACGAAGACTGCTGTTAGGAACACATTTTACATGTCCCCTGTACATTTTTGCACAGTGACTCCTAGGTACCATGTTAGGAGTGGAAATGCTGGGTCCTAAGGTGCATGAATGTACAATTTAATAAAATTAATCCATATTTTTTTCATAGTGATTGTATTGATTTTACATTCCCAGCAGCTATATTTCAGAGAGTCTACTGATTCACATTCTCCCTAGTACTCAATATCGTCCAACTTTAAAATTTTTCCAATTGAACTGACGTACAATGTCATCTCACTGTGCACAGTTTTGCATTTGCCTCATTACTAAGGAGGATGCTAAACTTTCTGTATGCTTATTGACCACACCTGTTTTTTTTGTTTTTTGTTTTCCTGAGAAAGATCTGTTCATTTCCCCCCATGCCCTGCACTTCCATACTGGTTTGTTTTGCTTCTTAGTGATCTCTGGCATTTTAAAAATACCTTCTTAGTATTGATTTTTAGTTTACGACATTTGTGCCAATATCTTCTCCACATGTCTGGAGAATTTTTACTGCCCTGAAGCATTTATTTTCATAAACAGAAACTTTTCATTTTAATGTACTCTAAGGCACCCCATTTGTCAATCTTATTTATACAGTTATCTTCTGGGTATCTTGTTTAAAAAATTTTTCTGTACCCTAAGATCTGCTATATTTTCTAATAGAGTTTTCTATTTGAAGTTTAGATCTTTACTCTTCCTCTAGAGTTGATTATCAAAAGTGATATAAGTAGGGAATCAGTAACATTCTCCAAATGCAAAACCAGTTTGTACAGCTCCATTTACTTGATAGAGCCTTCTTTACTCACTGACATTCCATGTACTGGGTTGGCCAAAAAGTGCCTTCAGTTTTTAAGTAAAAATAAAAGACACACTTTTCATTTTCACCAAGAACTTTATTGAACAACATAGTCACCCTTTTGTTCCACTACCTTCTGCCATTTTTCAGGAAACTTCATAATTCCATCTGCCCAAAAGTTTGTCATCTTTTTGAGCAAAGAACCGCTCCAGGTGTCTTTTACAGTCTTTCAGGGAATTGAAAGTTTTTCCATTAAAAGAATTTTGTAAAGACCTAAATAATGGAAACCTGAAGGTGCAATGTCTGGTGAATACGACAGATGAATCAGAACTGCCCAGCCAAGCTGTAACAGTTTTTGCCTGGTCATCAAAGAAACATGTGGTCTTGCCTTATCCTGATGGAAGAGTATGCGTTTTCTGTTGAGTAATTCTGGACGCTTTCGTCGAGTGCTGCTTTCAGTTGGTCTAATTGGGAGCAGTACTTGTTGGAATGAATCGTTTGGTTTTCCAAAAGGAGCTCATAATAGAGGACTCCCTTCCAATCCCACCATATACACAACATCACCTTCTTTGGATGAAGACCAGCCTTTGGTGCAGTTGGTTGTGGTTCATTTCACTTGCCCCACGATCTCTTCCATTCCACATTATTGTACAGTATCCACTTTTCATCGCCCATCACAATTTATTTATTTATTTATTTTTTCACCACAATTTATTTTAAAAAAGATACGTTTAAGTAGAGAATTACATGTGGAAATATGGTCAAGAAGGTTTGTTTTAGCATAAGTTACGTAAGGATCCTAAACATCAAAGCGCTTAACATAACCAAGCTGGTGCAAATGATTTTCAACACTTGATTTGGATATTTTGAGTATGTCGGCTATCTCCCACATGGTATAACATTGGTTGTTCTCACTTAATGTCTCGATTTGATCGCTATCAACTTCAACTGGTCTATCCAACCGTGGAGCATTGTCCAGAGAGGAATCTCCAGCACGAAACATCGCAAACCACTTTTGACATGTTCAATCAGTCACAACACCTTCTCCATACACTGTACAAATCTTTTTTGTTGTTGTTGTTGCGTTTCAGTTTCATTTTTACCCTTCTTGAAATCATAAAGGATAATATGCCAAAAATGTTGCTTTTTTCTTCCATCTTCAATATTAAGATGGCTACACAAAAATTCAATTTTGATGTCATTTTTTATTTTTATTTATTTTTTTGCGTTACGCGGGCCTCTCACTGTTGTGGCCTCTCCCGTTGCGGAGCACAGGCTCCCGATGCGCAGGCTCAGCGGCCATGGCTCACGGGCCCAGCCGCTCCGCGGCATGTGGGATCTTCCCGGACCGGGGCACGAACCCGTGTCCCCTGCATCGGCAGGCGGACTCTCAACCACTGCGCCACCAGGGAAGCCCTAAATATTTTTTAAATCACAGTTTCTTGGTATAACTTTCCTCACTCATAGTGAATGATAGGAGGTGTCATCAATATCATATTAATAATTTCTTTAAATTGCCTTGGTTTAATCAGATGCCCATGTTTCAAAACTGTGCTGAATTGGATAGGGAAAATTAGAGCTCTTATTTACTTCCTCTGCAACTTCCTGTCACATGTTTTAACTTCCACCCAAACTGGTCCATAAAGTGAGGTAAATAGACATTAAGCTGCCATGGGGTAACTATTACCACAATGACTATGTTCTTGGTTGTCCATCTTATGGAACATACATCCTGGCAGGCAGGCCACCTGGTGGGCTTGTCTCTGTCTCCTGCCTCTCCCACAAGGCAAGTCCTGTCCTGATTTGCTGCAGGTTATTGTAAGTGAAGGTCTTTCTGGAAGTCGTCTGTGCTCACTAATGTGTTGGCCTAAGTGATTCTTCCTGCAGAATGGAAAGGTGCTGGGCTCTGTATTCAGGTTTCAGGAAAACACAGACAGTCTATATTAGTTTCCCATTGCTCTGTAACAAATTACTACAAACTTAGTGGCTTAAGACAATATACATTCATTCTTTTATAGTTTTGGAGGTGAGCAGTCAAAATGAATCTTAAGGGGCTCCAATTAAAGTGTCAGTAGGACCGGTTCCTTCTGGAGGCTCCAGGAGGTACTCCATTTTCTTGTCTTTTCCAGGCTCAAGACACTGCCTGGCATTCATTGGCTCATTGCCCTCCCTCCATCTTCACTACGACCTTTGTTCCTATTATCCCATCTTCTTTTCTGCATTTGGCCATGCCTCACTCTTATAGGGATGCCTGTGATTATATTTAACCCATGTGGACAAACCAAGATAATCTTTCCATCTGAAGATCATTAACTTAATCACATCTGCAAAGTGCTTCTCGCTATGTAAGTAACATATTCACAGGTTCTGGGGTTCAGGAAGTGGACATCTTAGGGGCCATTATTCTGTCTCTACATTGTCCTGACTCCTGGAACATATAAATCATCAGCTTAGAAAACAGGTAGTCTTTTCTGTAGCAATGGAAACAAAAGTCATCAGGAAAAATAAATGAACTGTAGTAACATGAGTAAGTGTGAGAGATGGGACCGATCTGTTGAGACCACTGTGTTTCCTCAGCTGAACCTGCCTGTTCTGCTGCTTCATTCACCTTACCTCCTTATTCCCTTCCTTTTCCACAGATCATCCAGGGTTAACTGGCATGGATTGGTTCACCTCCTATTTCCTGTCAGGAAAGAATTTTGAGCAATTGGCCCAAAAATGTGTCCCTCACTACTCCACCTTGATCAGCAAGGCAGTGGGGATCCTCTCTCAGGAAAGTGTTGAACGTATTCAAAGAGTCTTTCAGGAGGGGAAGCTAAAAGAGGTGGTTGAAGAGATTCAGGAAGCACTTCAGAACTCTGAGAATGCTCCCTTGAATGTGGCTGTGATTGGGCAATCTGGTTCTGGGAAGTCCAGTTTCATCAATGCCCTGTTAGGTCTTGGTCATGAAGAGGAGGGGTCTGCTCACGTTGGAGTTGTGCCAACCACCATGAAGAAAACCCCCTATCAACATCCGAAATATCCCAGTGTGACCTTCTGGGACCTGCCTGGAACTGGGACTCCCAATTCCCTTCCAGATCCTTATCTAGAAATTGTGGGAGATGATGACTATGACTTTTTCATCATTATTTCTTCCTCACGGTTCAGCTCAAATGATGCTCTCCTGGCCCAGAAAATCAAGGAGAAGGGGAAGAATTTCTACTTTGTTAGAACAATGGTGGATGTTGAATTACATAGTGAAGAGAAAAGCAAACCCATATCCTTCAAAAAGGAGAGAGTCCTTCAGCAGATCCAAGATGACTACCTGGCTATTCTCAGCAACATCGGAGTATCTAATCCGTGTGTCTTCCTGGTCTCCAACTTTCACCCAGATAAGTTTGATTTCCCAAGACTGCAGGAGACATTGCTGCAGGATCTCCCTGCACATAAGCGCTACACCTTTGTGCTCCAATTGTCCAATTTGTCTGATGCTTTCATTGAGGTGAAGAGAGTTATCCTCAAAGAGAAGATCTGGCTGAATGCCCTGAAATCAGCCGCTTTGGCCATCATCCCTTTCATGGCCTTCTTCAGTGGCTTTGACTTGCCTAAACAGGAGAAGTGCTTGAACCTTTATCGAAGCTATTTTGGTTTGGATGAGCAGTCAGTCAAAGAGATTGCCCAGAAACTGGGCACATCTGTGCAAGAGATCAAGAGCTCCACAAAGTCCTTGGATTTCTGGTTATTTGTGAAGAATGACAGTATAGCAGCAAAGGCCATGAAATGTGCTGAATCCTTTTGCTCAGTGAACGGAGGACTCCGATCTTCTATCTTTCAATTTTTGAAAGTATATTTTTTACGTTTGAAGTTCATCAATACGGTGGCTGATGATGTTAAAATGCTGTTGCATAAGACTTTAGAGAGCGGAAGTCTAAGAGAATGAGGCAGAGATGGGTAGAGTTGCCTAACCGAATAACAAAAGGGCCTCAGGTCTTGTGTTCTCTGGGTGGGAGCAGGATCCTCTTCTACCCACCACCAAGGCCAACACTACCCTAAAGTAAAAAGATTGTCTCACTGTTGGAAAAAGACAATTGCTCCACATTGATGCTACACTGCTAAGTAAAGGGGATTTGACCATAACCTCTTTTCTGTACTCTCTAAGCTATTTTGCTCTAATCATGACAGATATGCACCATATAACTTTCATTAATCTCCTGGTGTTATAAGGTATTTTTCATTTGCAAGTTTTACTCTGATAATAAACGTTTGGTAATAATTATGATAACTGTTATCTATTGGCTTTTTATGAATTATTATCCCCCGTCATCATTTCAATACCATCCTCATCAAAATAAGGGAAAATACACAACTATGGGAATATGGCCAAGTGAACAGTTGATGATGTGTATGGGGAACCACAGCAGGTAGAAGAAGACAGGATTAGAGAAATGGTTTAGAATGTAATATTTCTAGATACTGTTAGAGATTAAAGGGAGGGAAACCAAGGCAGCGTTTTTATCTCTAGGACTTTTTCAACACTGGATGGATTAAGAGACCAGTGAACAGGCCACGATGAAGGACAGGAGATTTGAGAGAGTGAAGTTGAATTAGGAAGGAAAGAAAAGATTAACTGAACTGGGATAAATGAGAGAATAGAGTGTTTTTTTCTCTCACCCAAAATTTTATATCAAACTTCTGAAACAGAAGCACACAACAACAGTACCTGTCTTGAGTTTTGGGGATTCTCACTTCTGCTGTAACTGTAATTGTACATGCGACTTTCTTCTCTTCTTCCCTATATCGCTGGTATAGGGTGGATGCTGTATGGTCTAAGAGATGTACATGGCTGAGGTCTTCCCTTAGATCCCCACACTCCGGAGCGTCTCTCAGTGGGTGGAGGGCACTGAGATGTGAAGTAGGGCATGAGGGGCCCACAATCACCCTGATCCTCTCTGTTCCCCCACTGCTCAGCAGAGGACTCCTGTAGAGCAGAAGCAGTCAGTGGGGGATGAAGCAGATCACTGTGTGTGCTGCCTCATATTCAACAGATGTGTGAAACGATAAAAGGGAAGGAACTCTTGACTTTCTGTTATGGACAAATTGCATTAAAAAATTTTTGTTCGTCAGATGTGACCAACATGGAGACTCACACGACCTTCCCCTTCTCCAGAAATTATGACTCTCCACATTCCCCAGGCTTTTTCACTTCATTTCAGTGGCCTTTCATCAAGATAGCAAAGGACAAATCAAATGGGTCTGGTGTGGGTCCCAGTGGAAACACCCTTGCTACAAAATGAGAGTTATCAAATATTTACATCTGTGGGTTTTTTTTTTCAAATTTCCCTTATTCCCAAATAAGACAGGCAGGGTTAATGAGTCTTTCTCTCTAGGAAGAAAGGACTCAGAGGAGGAAAATAGAGAATCTGTTCTGGTGCCTTGTTTTTATCATCCAGAGTGAACAGGAGGGTTCATATACCTAGGAGAACATTCAGGAAGTGCCTGAATGATTCCCTTCACAGGGAAAAAAGTGGGGAAATGGGAGGAGGCTGTGAAGATGAAGAGAGGTCTCAGAGTCTGGTAGGAGGGGACAGAACTGTGCGGTGTCTCTAAACTGAGACCTTTGAGTCTAGGACATCAGTATGTGTGAGCATCAGGCTCTTATAAGGGCAGTTTCTGAAGTCCAGCCAGACTCTGTCAGCAGAAGCTTCAGAAGTTCCTGTGGGTGGTGCTGTAATGGTTGACCACCACGTTAGGCATTGGGTGAGCATCTCTCATTCAGCAGCCTGCAGCCCATAACCTGAAACACCACCTCACTGTGCCATCCACTTCCTTGGTCCACCATGTGTCTTACCTTGTGAGCACAAAACTCCTTTGCATGACCACTAGAGGGTTGGTGTTACTGAGAAAGGGAAGCCCCTCTTTTCCCCTCATCCCTGCCTCTCAGGGCTACTGGTTGAAGGCATCTTCCTGTCTTCTTACCACTGGATTAGTGGTAAAACAGTTCCTATCCTGTCTTCTGTCCCAAATCAGTGTCTAGTAGATACAAATTGGTTCTCTGCACTGGGACACTTTTGAAAAGCATGCTGTGAATGGTACGGTTTCCTGGATACCTGACACTTGAGCAGAGACAAAAAATATGCATATATGTTGGGAGAGTGCCCCCAGTAAAGGGAATAGCAAATGTAAGTTTGTGAAAATGGGAGGTACTTGCCATGTCCACTGAGTAGGTAGTAAGCCCCAGTGGTGGAGTAGTGACCAATGGGAGAGTGGTAGGATATGAAGGCTTAGGAGTAATCAGGTAACAGGAATGTAGGATGATGGTGGGCATGGTCTTTTCTTCAGAATTTATTCTAAGTATGATAGAAACATTGAAGGTGTTAGGCATGACTTAATTTAGGCTTGGCAAATAGATTACAGTGGAGGCTGAAAGGATAGCTCTAAAGCACCTAAAGGTGATTATTCATTCCTTCTTGTTAGAGATGACGGTGGCTTGGACAACAGTGAGAGAGACAGAGTGTGTGAGAAGAAACTGGGTTCAGGATGTATTTTGAAGATAGACCTGCCAGGTTTGCTGACTAACTAGATGAGGATGTTAGAGGGAAACTATAAGAATCACCTGATGATTCCTTCTGAGCAACTAAGTAAGCGGGATGCCATTCAAAGAGATGGGGAAGTCTCTGGGACAGTAGACCTGGGGGTAGGGGTGGGGCTGGGGAATTAAGAGTCAAGATCTAAGAAAAAGACTGTTAGACTTGAGGTGTCTGTTGGAACTCTGAGTGGAGGTGCCATGTGGACAGGTGGAGGTTTGAGTCTGAGGGTCAGCAGAGATCATGGTTGTGCTGCTTTCTATCTGTCTAACCTTTGGCAAATCACTGAGAAGCACTTCCCTTTACCCTCAAAATGGGGATCAACTTACCCACTCAAGGACCTTTTGGGGAATACAAGTCCTGGGATGATTTAATATTTACATGAAAGGAGTATGGTGCAGTGAAAGTGCTCCATGGAGTGGAGAATTTATTAGGAGGTAAGCCACAGGTAAATTAACTTGGGGGAGAAAAATTTATCATTATAAACCTGTCTCCAGGGAACAAATGAGGAGGGGAATGCAGGCAAACTGGTAAGGTAATCACCATACTTCCCCCTGAATCTGGGGCTCCGTTTGGTTCCCTCGACTTCTCCCTTTTATTGACTACTTTTTTTCCTGTCAATGATTTAATTTGTTCATTTTTTTCCCATATTGATATTCACTTGTTGCAGCAACATTTGTTGAAAAGGCATTCGTTTTTCCATTGAATATTGTCTTAGCAACTTGTTAAAAAATTATGTGATTATTTTTGGGTTAACTTCTGTCCTCACTATTCTATTCCATTGTTCTGTAGGTCTATCCTTTCTTCAATGCCTCAGTGTCCTGATTATGGAAATTTTCTAGCAAGTTTGGAATAGGATAAGTTTACAGTGTGAGCCTTCAAACTTTATTCTTCTTTTTCAAATTGTTTAGTCTATTCTGTTCCTCTTGTCTTTCCTGTATAAATGTAGAATTATCTTGTTAATATCTATGAAAAAAGCTTGCTGGGATTTTGATCGGGATTTTTTTCAATTAATAGATCAAACTGGGAAAAACTGACACCAGCACACTATTGAGGCCGTCAATCCATGAACACAATATGTCTCTACGTGTATTTGAATCTTCTTTTATTTCTTTCATCTGTTTTGTGTAGTTTTCGGTGTATATCTTCTGCATATATTTTGTTGTTTATATCTAAGTATTTTATTTATTTAGTGCTATTATAAATGACATTTTTTAAAAAAACAAATTTCAATTGTTCTTTGCTGGAATATAGGAGTACTTTTGTATTCTGATCTTGTATTTTGCAACATTTCCACTCACTTATTAGTTCTAGGAGTTTTTTGTGCATTTGTTGGGATTTTTTAATGCAGAATATTACACCCTGTGAAGAGAGACATTCCTATTTTTTACTTTTCAACAAGTATATCTTTATTTTTCTTGTCTTGTTGCACTAGCTAGGACTTCAATATTATGTATCATAGAGTGGTGAGAGAGGGTATTTTTGTCTCATTCCTTACCTTAGGGAAAAGCATTCAGTCTTTCATTATTAAGAATGATGCTAGCTGTGGTGGGGGGGGTTGTTTTTTTAATATAAATTGTTTTTATTAGGCTAAGAAAATTCTCTTCTTAGTTTCTGTAAGTTTTTATCATGAATAAATGGTAAATACTATTGAAAGATTTTTATGCACCTATTGAGATGATCATATGGTTTTCTTATTTATTATGCTAATCTAGTGAAATTATGATTGATTTTTCCATTGTTCAAACAGGTTTGCTTTCCTGAAGTGAATCTCACTTGGTTGTGATGTATTATTCTTTCCATATATTGCTGTAATTGTTTATGTAACCTTGTATTCATTATTTTTGCAGATATATGCATATATATAGATAGATAGATAAATTACTTCTTGATGGTTTTCTGTTGTAATTGTGTTACTTTTCTTTGTCAGGCTTTGGTATTGGAGTGCACTGGCCTCATGAAATGAATTGGAAAGTCTGCCTTAATTTTCTGGAAAAGCTTTGTAAAATTAGAATGATTTCTTCCTTATATGTTTGGTTGGATTCACCAGTGAAGCAATCTGGGCCTGGCATTTTGTTTCTATTCTATGGTGAATTTTAATAATTTCAATTTCTTTAATAGATGCAGAATTCTTACATCCTCTATTTTTCTTGTGAGTTTTGGTAGTTTATGTCTCTCAAGAAATTAGTCCATTTCACCTAAGTTGTTGAATTTATGAGGGTACAGTTCTTAGTATTCTCTTATCACCCTTTTAATGTCCATGGGATCAGTACTGATGTCCCTTGTTTCATTCATTATTGGTAATTTTTGTCTTCTATCTTTGTTTTTGGCCAATGTGAATAGAGGTTTATCAATTTTGTTCATCTTTCCGGAAGAAACAAGTAAAAGAGTTGAAAATGGTTGTGTCTGGGTGTTGAAATCTATTGTGAGGCAGGGAATACTCTATCTGGTCATAAGTCTTTTTTTTTTTTAATTTTTTTTTTTTTATTTATTTATTTTTTTGCGGTACGCGGACTTCTCACTGTTGTGGCCTCTCCCGTTGCGGAGCACAAGCTCCGGATGCGCAGGCTCAGCGGCCATGGCTCACGGGCCCAGCTGCTCCACGGCATGTGGGATCTTCCCGGACCGGGGCACGAACCCGCGTCCCCTACATCCGCAGGCGGACTCTCAACCACTGCGCCACCAGGGAAGTCCC